AATGAGTTCACTGTACTCAAATGGCCTCCACAGTCACCAGATCTCAATCCAATAGAGCATCTTTGGGATGTGGTGGAACGGGAGATTCGCATCATGGATGTGCAGCCGACAAATCTGCGGCAACTGTGTGATGCCATCATGTCAATATGGACCAAACTCCCTGAGGAATGCTTCCAGCACCTTGTTGAATCTATGCCACCAAGAATTGCGGCAGTTCTGAAGGCAAAAGGGGGTCCAACCCGTTACTAGCATGGGGTACCTAATAAAGTGGCCGGTGAGTGTATAGTGCTTCTGCATATGACAGCTGAAGACCATTAGGCAGTAATAGGCAGTTGCCTAGGGCCCCACGTTCCTAGGGGCCCCATAAAACTCTGTTTACATGTATGGTTAAAACAACTATTCCTGATTTCTGCACATTGATTATGATTGATTAAACAATCATTTAACTAAAATGACGTCAGAATGCTTATAAAATTAAGTATGTCTTAATTTTGCCGTCGCCTTTTTGGAAACACAGGAAGGAGCAATCAGCTAAGTGAGCTTAGTGCTTGGAAAAAATCTTTCATTCCTTTAGAGACAGCATGAAAAGTCAGCTGAGTACAAAACATAGAGAGGAAAACAAGAAGAAAAGGGACAAGAAGAGAGGGACACAACCTAGAACAGATAATGGATGTCTATTCTATTAACATTTCTCTATCTGTAGAATGGGGCTGTTTGATGTGTTGTTTTCTTTATTCAGAGGGCCCCCTGCCTGTCTTTCCTAAATCCGCACCCGTGTGTGCATGTTTTCCTTGTTTTTATGTACAGCACATTTGAAACATTGTTTGCTTTTAAATGTGCTATATATATAAAGTGGAATGGATTGGATTAATGCTGAAAGCTCTACAGGAAGAAAATTCCCGGCTTGAATGGAGGCCATGTCTCTCAGCTAACTCCTGTTTCAGATTCTCCTATTGGTTGAAATTCTGATTTTCAAACTCCAGCATGATTTGAATGTGCTTGTATGGGAGAAATATCATACGTGACAGGATGTCTGCCTAAGACAACATGTTAGATTTCTCCCTGTTCCCATCTGGGATTTCTGCCTATGCCCATTCATGAAAAAATACAGTAATATTAACTCCAAGCTGACAACACTGGCACGGCTTCCTTTAGACGGGCTCTTTACTAAACACTGTGAAAGCTATAGAGATCAAAGACAAAGCTTTAGATATAGAGGCATTTACAGACAGTCAAGTACTTTAACAAAAATGACCTCGTGACGCCTGCCTATTCAGTAATGAAACACCATAACCAAAAAAGTTTCAAAATATTACAAACATAACTACAAAATACCTTAAAAGATACACTGAAGAAAATAACGCATCCGCTTTTGGCGTTTTCTTAATCATATTGTCATGGTTTTTTTCAGTGATCTGACCCACATGCAGGAAACCACTCAGAGAAACCAGGGGAAAGTTTAACAGGTTTATTGAAAACAAGTCGAGATGGGTCCAGTGTTGCTCTGAACGCTGGTGAGCCGGGACTGAAAAGTGAAAGGGGAAGTTCTGTGAATAGTTGAGGCTCAGTGGGAAATTTGAGCTTCGATTTGCAAAAGGTTGAAACAGCAACTGGACTCACGTTTCCAGAAAAGGTGTCCTTCCCAGAATCCAGTCAGTGTGGGTTGTTCCAGAGATTCGTTGGCTCGTTGGAGGGCGGACAGGGTTTACCCAGATTTAGTAGGTTCCTTGAGGAGCGGAGGAGCTGACTGCCACTTAGATTTCCTGTGGTACTTGAACGGTTCTTGTGAAGATCAATCCTCTGCTCAGTGTGAGGCTCAAACAATCTTTTCGTGGGGAAGAGGGTCCAAACCTCCAGTTTGAATCCCCTGCTCAGTATGAAGCGTGAGCCGATCCTTCCAGGGGGAGAAGGCCAAAACATCCAGTTTGTAGGATGACTTCCCGCTGAGAGGCAAAGACAAAACAACAAGGTTAAGATTCAGGTTGACAAAAACTCAGTTTGACTAAGTTAAACTCAGCTTGGCTAGAGCACCCCAAACTGGCAAACACTCTGGCGTTGAGGTAGTGGCAGTCAGCAGCTTAAGAGTCCTCAGGTAATGAGGCAACCATCCGCAGGTGTGTGAAAGGGCCAACGAGAACCAGGCGCCACCTTGTGGTGGAGGGAAAACAAACAAAAACACAACCCACACAAACTGGATTCCTAACACATATTTAGCTATTTTAACACAATTGTTTCATGTTAGCAGGGTGGGATATGAAACGATTGTGTTAAAGTAACTAAAAATGATTAGGTAAATACCAAAAGTGGTTGGAATATTTTTTTCAGTGTACAGGAAACACGAGGCTGCTACACGTAGCTCTGTTCCAGGCTTCTTCTTCTTTGCTGTGTATTCAGGTCTCTCAGCCTTTCAGATACACAAATATTGCAATAAATTTCCACAAAAAATAGTTCGACATGAAATAAAACATAATCATTTTATATAAATCTCAAGACATGAACCAAACAACTTAAAATACATTATCTTAACTATTAGAAAATAAACATACATTTATTTCCAAAAAATAAATTATTTCACTGACACAGTCATATATTTAGCCAATTTAAAAAAAAAATGTCTTTTCTATATGTTCGTTTAGAAAAACATCAATCTTTAGATATGAGAAAATAAGGAAAGAGTCTGAACGGGTGGATTCAGGGCCTGATAACGGCGTTTTATGATAAACTTTCACTGCAAGATAACAGCTTAACTTGCTTTAGCCTGATTCCAGCGAGTAGACATATTGGCCCCATCGTTTTTGTGAATTCATTTTTGTGCGCAGTGAGGGGCATGTAGAACAGCGCTGTATTGGGTATAATTGCTGATTTAATCATTCGGTGATGCACTGCTGTTAGAATGTCATTACTGAGATTTTCTTTCACTCTCCGGGGGAGAATCAAATGTTGCGGTGGATGTTATTTTGGAAAGAATATTGTTGGTCTAGCCCTTTATATATATTGTAAATGATTATCTAAATCTGAAGCCAAACATATAGAAATTGAAGCCTGATCCTCCACCTGCAGCTGCATCCTGTGAGGAGTAATAAGATTGTTTGTTCTCTCGCTTCCTTCTTGTCGCCAGCAGATAATCTCTCAGGAAGTTTTGTTGATATTCAGCTGCAGACAGTTTGAGAGACATCAGTAGTTCAACTCGCCCCAGAATCTGCATCAATATGTTTAAAAGTGTCAGACGAATGCGTTTGTTTGTTCAGATGAAAGAAATGATTTTGTGTGAGATCTAATGCCTTGCTCCCTGCTGGCTCTACGGCACAGTAGACTCATTTGCAGCATCAGCGGCAGGTTACATCAGCTCTCTGCAGCTCTAAAGGCATGGAAATAACCTATGCATACAGTTTGACCTCTTATTTGATTCATAAGTTGTTTGAAAAATCACTTACAAGATTGAATTTCTCTTTTTCAGGAGAGAATGTATTGAATTTAGACGGACTAAACTGAGTTTCTGTCTAAGGTGACATTGGGAAACAAATAGTTGTGTGCGTCTTGTAGTCAGGGACCCAGTCTGAACAGCACAACCCTGCAGGTATTGGAAATGACACACACAAAGCAGCAGGTGAGCAGCGTGTGGCTGCACTTTGGTCCTCTGGGTCATAAACAGAAGGGTCAATCATTTTTGGTTCGATGGAGATGTGTGTTCGAGTGTTTGCCCTTGAGCAACCCGCCTTACCTCTGCTGTTTTCACACTTTGCTGCTGTCAGAGTTCTCGACTGCAGAACTAAAGCTTACTCACACTTCACAAAGAAAGTTTAAATGCATCGCACAAATATATATTTTCCATGTTTTTTTATCTTATTAAACATATTTTATTCATTATTAACAGATCAACATACAGGTTTTTAAAGGCTGATGTCGAGAGCGATTATTTGGACCTTTGTCTAGGCGATGCTGATATGTGCTGCTGATTTTTTAAGCTATGATAAAAATGACAGAATTACAAATGTCACAAAAGTCTCAGTTTAAACAAAAAAGGGACGGTTATTAAAGAGCTGACTACCCCTAATTCATCATACTGTAGTTTACATGATGAAATGCTGCTTTTATATCTAAGGAAAAACAGTTGTTTGCATCGACTCATTGACTCTTCAGCAATCCCTCACACTAAGCATGCTTGTAGCGACAGTGGAGAGGAAAAACTCCCTTTGAACAGGAAGAAACCTCCAGCAGAACCAGGCTCAGTGTGAGCGGCCATCTGCTGAGGCCCACTGGGGTTCAAGGAGACAGAAGCAGACATAGAAAAAGAAGCATAGATACAAACAATAACTAAAAGACGGCCCCGTCCAGGAAATATATAGCTAGGCAGACGAGCTCCGAGCCAGCTCCCATGTCAGAGGATGAAGAGAGCACATCCAGTTAGTCACAGTCAGAGAAACAGGACTACACTGGAAAACAGGCCAAGCTCCAACATCTAGAAACAAAGGTGTTGATGGCAGCAGCACAGCTGATATTTCTCTCCAGGATGGAGTCACAGCCAAACAGGAACAGACCAGATGAAGCTACTATGAGAAAAAGCAGAGAGAGCAGAATGGTAGAAAAATCATAAACAAAATCATAACCTGTGTTTTTTTTAAGAAGGGGGTAACATGTCCAACTCTTCAGAAGTTTTGTTCAGCTGGAGTAGTTAAAGAAAAAGGCTCATAAAGGTTGCAGACTCCTCCTTAAAAATGTATTTAAGGGCGATGCAGAATCACCTGAATCCCCTTAATGGAGACACAAAGTTCAGCTCTCAGAGATTTCTGATTTTCTGTCAGTGGATGATTTTCAATATTACAGTAGTGCTAAATGGCTGCAGAGAGGAGGAAACAGCCTTTTAGACAAGAAGAAAATATAATTCAACAGCCTCCTCTGGTGGAAGTAGCAACACATGACAGCTTAGCTGCTGTTCTGTTATTCAATGATCGTTTTAGCAGTTTAACATGATTGATTTGTTTCTTTCTTGACTCCATCAGATATCAACATGGCAGGAGAACCAAGGCCAAGCAGACCCAAAGGCCTGAAGCGATCATCCGCTGCCCTCTACAAGTATGTCCTGTCATTAACTGAATTTTATGTCAATCATGTTTTCTACGCAAAAAATGATAATGTTATAAATAATAAAAATTTTGAAAAAAATCATAAATTATAAACCAGAATATGCTCAATTGATAGTTTTCAAATAAAAATATTATTATTTGGGAGTCATGTAGGCTGAATGTTCTCTTAAAACCCCTAAGAACTAGGAAAAGTAAAGACAGTGAAAAAAAAAAAACATTAACAGAAAACTGGATTTGTTTTCTGATTTCATTTCATTTTTTTTAACTACCAATTTTTCACATTTCTGTCTTTTTTAAGATTAATATCTTTGCCGTCAGAGAGACTCTAAATCCCTATGCACCTCCATCAAAAAGATAAATGAATAAAAACTATAAAAGGGCTATATGTTTTTTTATTTTTGTGGTCTGAAAAGATTTGTTTTCATATCTTTTTTTTTTTCATTAAATGCTGTCCTTGAACTTTGTATTTTTGCACAGTCTCTAAATAGCTGTGCCATTTTGGTTTTTCCTCAGTGGCTACGAGTTTGACTACGATTACTACAGAGAGGACTTCTATGACAGGTGAGACGACGGCGTGTTTAGATTAAAATGATTTATTTGTTTGTTGTTAATCCAAGATACACAGAATAGAAGCAAGAAATAAACCTACATCATTAAAGAAGACCGTTTAAATGTACCTTTTATGAGTGAAATTAACGAACACTGGGCATGCTGCAAAAAATAATAAGTGCACACATTTCAATTTGATTCAGTTTATTTCTATAGCTCCAATTCACATCATGTCATCTCAGGTCACTTTCCAGTTCACCAGATCATCCAGTCAGATTGATTCAAAGTTTTCTATCTAAGGAAAACCAGCTGATTGCATCGACTCATTGACTCTTCAGCAATCCCTCACACTAAGCATGCTTGTAGCGACAGTGGAGAGGAAAAACTCCCTTTGAACAGGAAGAAACCTCCAGCAGAACCAGGCTCAGTGTGAGCGGCCATCTGCTGAGGCCCACTGGGGTTCAAGGAGACTGAAGCAGACATAGAAAAAGAAGCATAGATGCAAAAGGCAACTGTCAACCAGCTCCACAGGCGGCCCCGTCCAGGAAACACACAGCCAGGCAGACGAGCTCCGAGCCAGCTCCCATGTCAGAGGATGAAGAGAGCACATCCAGTTAGTCACAGTCAGAGAAACAGGACTACACTGGAAAACAGGCCAAGCTCCAACATCTATAAACAAAGGTGTTGATGGCAGCAGCACAGCTGATATTTCTCTCCAGGATGGAGTCACAGCCAAACAGGAACAGGCCAGATGAAGCTACTATGAGAAAAAGCAGAGAGAGCAGAACGTTAGAGACTGAACTAACAGATTCTGCAGAGTGGGAGAATAGAGATAGAATGAAGTAGAATGATAAATAGGGGTCCCTATGTCCTCCAGCAGTCTAAGCCTATAGCAGCATAACTATAGAGATAGTTATTCCTCTTTGCATTTTGCTCTCTGCATCCTGTAGACTCTGTTTTCCTGTAAATGAATCCAACACCAAAGAAAGAAATTAGTAATGAAATCATGATACCATTGTTCTGGGATGTTCTGTTTTTGCCTCGCATAACAGATATTTGTGCTGTGGGTATTGCCAATACACAGTACAGATACAACTATGTTATTATTATGTAATCATATTCCATGACTGTATATTAACTATCATGGCGTAAAGGTCTGGCTCAGGTTAAACCCTGTTAGGTCCTAAAAACCCGGCTGATCAGTTCCTCTTAGATAGCAGAAGGCAGCACATAGAGCTAATCAGTGAATAGATTCTGTTTTAATAAATTAGATAAAGGAATAGGACATGAGCTACAGCACTGATACCAGTACTTTAGGGAGTATTAGCTGCATTTTAGATGGTGGAACAACTCTAACTGAAAGCCGAGACTGATTAGAAACAAGCAAATCAGGTGTGTCACATTATACTGTAATGTTTTTCACAAAGAATGCTGTGATTACAGTATTTTACCTGAGAACACTACAGTAAAATGTTGAGAAGTTTGTGAAAAGCAATATTCACAGTAATCTATTGTGCAAACCTCCGTTTGACAGCAGAATACTTGATTACTGTGCTATATTGAAATCAATGTAATAGAATCTGGTCATGTGAAAATACAGATATTAAAATACAGATACTTAAACACTGTGAGATCCTGGTAATATCTTCCAGTGTAGTCAAGTGCTTTTTTTAAAGTTTTGTCTTTAGATTTAGGTAAGACCATATTTGACCACTTGAGGGCAGCCTTAGATTGTTTATACACTCTTTAGTTTCTGGGTCTGTGATTTAAAAAAATGTTTTCCTATTAAAATCTAGCCTATATGCCATCATCTCAGTAACAACTGGAAGTTTAACATCCAGATGTCATGGTTGTGTGTTGGTCAGCCAAATGGCAGATAACCAGAGCAGAGCGGCAAACTGAGAAATTCAGTATTTAATTATAGAAAAAGAACATCCAGGACTGAGGATGAAACGGACCGAGGCAAGAACTGGAACCTGCCAGAATGCAATATAATGTTTATGGAGGAATAAGTCAGAAATAAACAAAATAAAACAAAGAACCTAACTTAACAGGAACTATGATGAAACAAAGAAGAAACACAATAGATTCCAAATCAAATGAGAAACTGATTCATTTCAATTAACTTTATTTATATTACATCGATTCACTAAACATGTCATTTAAAAGCAATTTAGAGAGAAAATGAAACCAGATCATGGAGTCAGATTAGTTCAAAGTTTTCTATCTAAAGTAACCAGCTGATTGCATCCAGTTATTGACCTTGCAGGATGAGCATGTGGCAACAGTAGAGGTTTAGTTGGACTACGCTGTGGAATCTTCAGCAATCCCTCACACCCAGCATGCTTGTAGCGACAGTGGAGAGGAAAAACTCCCTTTTAACAGGAAGAAACCTCCAGCAGAACCAGGCTCAGTGTGAGCGGCCATCTGCTGAGGCTCACTGGGGTTCAAGGAGACAGAAGCAGACATAGAAATAGAACACAGAACCATTGATCAATAAATGCATTCTAAGTTAAAAACAGTAAACTAGCTCCACAGGTGTCTGGAAAAGAGAAACTGTTACGGTGAGGAGTTTGAAGCCAGTTTTAATGTCTAAAGGAAGGAAAGAAAGCACATCCAGTTAGTCACAGTAAAAGCTGATTCCATAGATATGTTTAGGAGAAAAACAGGACTTAACTCAAAAATAGGCCCAATTCTATAATCTATACGTAAGTATGAAGACGACACTAAAATCTATAAAGGACCAAAAGTGACCAATTTAATAAAATTAAAACTTCTGAAAATAAACTAAACCTGCAGGGGGAAAAAAAAAAAACAGAAGTGAAATTCAGATTGTGACACCATCATTCACCAGGGGAGTCGTGGTCTAGTGGTTAGGTTAGGGCATAGAGCTTGAAATGTTGTAGCTGTGAGTTTGAAACCCACTCCCACAGACTGCCACTCTGTGTAGTTATCCACTCTGCTATTCACAAAATATGTCATATCAGGTCACTTTCCAGTTCACCAGATTGATTCAAAGTTTTCTATCTAAGGAAAGCCAGCTGATTGCATCGACTCATTAACTCTCCAGCAATCCCTCACACTAAGCATGCTTGTAGCGACAGTGGAGAGGAAAAACTCCCTTTAACAGGAAGAAACCTTTTAATCTTATGTTGTTTTTTCTGTTCTTCTCTTTCCTCTTTGACTTTCTTCTTTTGTTTCTATCTGTTGTTTTTTTGTCCCTCTCCTCCACTCATCCCTCGCTCTCTGTTTTTTCTTCACTCATTTTACATGTCTAGGTTGTTCGAGTTTCGCAGCAGAGTGTCTCCCATCCCTCGGGTGGTGCCGGTCAAACGTCCCAGGGTGGCGGTACCGCTGGTTCGACGTGTCAAATCTCTGCCGGTCAAAGTGTTAGCATGTAGCGCCTCCGTCCTTCCCACCAACGGAAACAAAAAGAGACGTGAGTTCGTCCCATATGAATAAATTACATTTTAAGGTGGATCAATTTGTTTTATTTTCATTGAACCATCAGGGCTTCACTGCTACACTGGGCTGAAAAAAATTATAATATGATGTTGGAAAAAAAATACTGATTCTCACAAAAAATGGTTTAAGTTGGGGTAAACGTTTTGTCCTTAGGATTAAAATAATAAAGACAAATCAAAAAAATCTAATCAAAGTTTTATTTAAAAGTAAACTACATTACAGAAGTATTTTGAATGTTTAAGTTATGCAGATTCAATACCATGAAGCCCAGAATTTACAGAAGTTAGTCAAACAAAACTTTGCTACTAGCAGGAAGAGGACACTCTAGAGGCGGAGTTTCAAGACAAGTAGCCAATCAAAGGAACTTTACTTTCCCTGGTGGGTTTGCACCCAGAAAAGGATCCCCACTGAGTAGAAAATAATCTACACATTCAAAGCAAGCAGTGAGCACAGAGAAGGAACATGGACTCCCATATTTTGGGAGCCTCCGCATATTGAATGATTGATCGATGATGAATAAAATAAGATAAAGAAAGCACCCGGAGAGTTGTGTGTGTTTTGAATAAAGAATGCTTAGTGTGAGGGATTGCCTTCGAGTCAATGAGATGGAAAACTAATCTGACTAAATAATCTGGTTAAATTGTCTCTTCAGAGAGCATTTAGATGACGTGTGTTGTGAATTGTTGAAATATAAATAAACTGCAATAAAAAAAAAATTGGTATAAAAAATTAAAAAATACATTTACTGCTTTAGTTTCTATTTAAATTACAGTAAACATCTGAAGCATAAAGTATATTAATAAGATAAAGAAAGTTGTCTTATTCTAAAGTAAATTAGATTGCTAAATCATGTTGATTTGAAAAGTTGAAAACATAACAGAAAGATTTTCAGTTTTCAATATTTTTATGGTTTAATTTTTTTCCTAATTTTGGTCCCAAAAATAATAAAATCACCAAAGGACTTGAATATTGCTGGATCTTCCTTTATAGTAGCAGCCATTGAAAATAGCCTTCCCAATCACATGCCAGCTGAATGGCAGCCCACTGCCCTGCCACTCCCAGAAAAATCCCCCTCCGACTTCCAGCCACTGGATTTTTTTGCCCTGCCTCCACCCTTTCACTGAATCACAGGGTCTGACCAAGAGATGGCGCTTCTCTTTCGATCATGACAGAATATTTTAGTACAAAGATTGAGGAATTGTAGGGGACCTGCCAAGGACCAACCAAGGACCAGCCAAGGACGAGCCAAGGACCAGCCAAGGACCTGCCAAGGACCAACCAAGGACCAGTCAAGGACCAGCCAAGGACCAGTCAAGGACCAGCCAAGGACCAGCCAAGGACCAACCAAGGACCAGCGAAGGACCAGTCAAGGACCAGCGAAGAACCAGTCAAGGACCTGCCAAGGACCAGCCAAGGACCAGCGAAGGACCAGTCAAGGAATAGCGAAGGACCAGTCAAGGACCAGCCAAGGAGCAGCCAAGGACCAACCAAGGACCAGCGAAGGACCAGTCAAGGGCCTGCCAAGGACCAACCAAGGACCAACCAAGGACCAGCCAAGGACCAGCCAAGGACCAGCCAAGGACCAACCAAGGACCAGCGAAGGACCAGTCAAGGACCAGCGAAGGACCAGTCAAGGACCAGCGAAGAACCAGTCAAGGACCTGCCAAGGACCAACCAAGGACCAGCCAAGGACCAGCCAAGGACCAACCAAGGACCAGCCAAGGACCAGCGAAGGGCCAGTCAAGGACCTGCCAAGGACCAACCAAGGACCAACCAAGGACCAGCCAAGGACCAGCCAAGGACCAGTCAAGGACCTGCCAAGGACCTGCCAAGGACCAGCCAAGGACCAGTCAAGGACCAGCCAAGAACCAGTGAAGGACCTGCCAAGGACCAACCAAGGACCAGCCAAGGACCAGCCAAGGACCAACCAAGGACCAGCCAAGGACCAGCCAAGAACCAGTGAAGGACCTGCCAAGGACCAACCAAGGACCAGCCAAGGACCAGCCAAGGACCAGCCAAGGACCAGCCAAGGACCAGTCAAGGACCAACCAAGGACCAGCCAAGGACCAGCCAAGAACCAGTGAAGGACCTGCCAAGGACCTGCCAAGGACCAGCCAAGGACCAACCAAGGACCAGCCAAGGACCAGCCAAGAACCAGTGAAGGACCTGCCAAGGACCTGCCAAGGACCAGCCAAGGACCAGTCAAGGACCAGCCAAGAACCAGTGAAGGACCTGCCAAGGACCAACCAAGGACCAGCCAAGGACCAGCCAAGGACCAGTCAAGGACCTGCCAAGGACCAACCAAGGACCTGCCAAGGACCAACCAAGGACCAACCAAGGGCCAGCCAAGGACCAGCCAAGGACCAACCAAGGACCAGCCAAGGACCAACCAAGGGCCAGCCAAGGACCAGCCAAGGACCAACCAAGGACCAGCCAAGGACCAACCAAGGACCAGCCAAGGGCCAGACAAAGACCAACGAAGGGCCAGCCAAGGGCCAGCCAAGGGCCAGCCAAGGACCAGCCAAGGACCTACCAAGGGCCAGCCAAGGACCAGCCAACGACCAACCAAGGACCAGCCAAGGACCAGCCAAGGACCAACCAAGGACCAGCCAACGACCAACCAACGACCAACCAAGGACCAGCCAAGGACCAACCAAGGACCAGCCAAGGGCCAGACAAAGACCAACGAAGGGCCAGCCAAGGGCCAGCCAAGGACCAGCCAAGGGCCAGCCAAGGGCCAGCCGAGGACCCATCAAGGAAAGAGGGGAAATTTTGAATGGCTGCTACTGTAAATGTAATTGCTGTGTTCAGAGAGTGTTTTCACGTAGGCCTGCATGTGGATAAAAGTCACCGAATATTTGTGATCCTGTTTACCAGTAAGTTAGACTTAAAGCTAAAAGTGTGCCTTTAATAAATCAGATACATTTTACGTTGGATCTAGAAGTCTGAAATATGTCTTTTGACTTTAGTTTCTATCATTTGAATAATGATTATTATTTATTTGTTTTATTGTTGTTTTTTGTTACATTTTAGTTCCTGATGAGATTTTATAATTTACATGTTTAAAATAAAAAATAAAAGCACATCAAACAATCATCCATTCATTTTAATTTTTTAGTAAAGAAATTATGAAAATTAAGTTAGAAAGACTCTGCATCATCCCATTCCCAGAGTTGGAACAATTCAAGTAGATCAGATTTTCATTGAGAAGGTTTGAAACGCAGAAACACAATCAGTTTACTTACCGAAGGTTTTTACAGTTTTTACAGCTTTTTATAAATGTTTATAGTGCCACCAGAGATCAGGTCAACCTCTCCCTCTCTCCTACTAAAGTTCCTTCTTCTGCAGACTTTTTACGTCAACTTTATTTCAAATTTACCACCATGTAAAGAGACACTAATGTGGAAAAATAAGCCATTTCCAACCCATCAAAGCCCAACAAAGCAGTCTATCAATCCAAAGTGTAAAGAGCCAGAAACTGGACCTTTTCAGGATCCATTAGATCAGCAACCAGATCAGCCTCCTCATGGGAAGCTGGATGAACGTGAGCTATGATTTATTTCCTGATAGCCTGAGGTTCAAAAGTTTATTGAATGACGGTGGATCTGAAAGACGCATCCAACCGACCTGCTGCCAGTGGGCTGAATCCTAATACTGATTCTTTTTTTTTTTTACGGCACTAGTTTCTTGTTTTTCTTAAAGTAGGCTGACAGGAGAGGGGGTATGAGAGAAAAGGGGGGAGACATGCCCGGGTTGGCTGCGTCGAGGACTAAGGCCTCCATACATGGGTTGTGCACGCTAACCACTGCGCCACCTGCACACCCACTGATTCATCTTTTATTCTTTTCTCCTTGCTGCCAACTAAGGTATGGAGGATAAAAAGTGCCAAAATTAAATAAATAAATACAGCGATAAACCCATCAAAGTTAGGGGGCGGGGTTAACGCGAATCGAGTCTCTGTAATCGATTTGCTTCGCCTTAATGTGCAGGGTGACCAATCAGGTGTTAGATAACCGCCCCCTAACTTTGATGGGTGAGTTTGACAGATTCTTTTAATGGTTTCGATGCACTGCGACACAGGACCATGAAATAATTAAATGCACACTGAAATAATTATATATATTTTTTAATAAAATGAAGACGTATTTTATTAAATTAATGACACATTTATATATTTAATTCCTTATTCATTTAATGAATTACACATTTAATTAATGGTTTATCGCCATATTTATTTATTTAATTGTGGCACTTTATATTAGTGACGTGGTTTTAATTAATTATTGACACATTTAATTATTTATTTAAAGCTGTATTTATTTATTTAATTTTGGCACTTTTTAGCCTCCATACTAAAGAAGTACATTTTCAGTGTGATTCTCATGTTAAAGTTATTTGCAAAATTATAAGTAAATGTAATATTTTGAAGTTTTAGGACTGATTTAAGTTTTCTGGGTTTAGAAAGAGGGATTAAACAGGACATGTTCTAAAGTAAAATAATTTAAATCGGTTACCTGACTCTGACCCAGGGGCAGAGCTAGAGGGGGGGCCAGGGGTGGCCATGGCCACCCCTAGCCAATCACTGGCCACCCCTGTGGCCACCCCTACCCTTTTTTCCCTGTAATACAGACGGTGGCAGCAGTAATATGAAAATAAATCTGTGTCACTGGGATTTGAATTAAAAATGGCACTAAAATTTAAATGTTGTATGTTTGTACTTACTGTTTCAGTGTTAAAATATATTCAGAACACATTTTTTGTGACGTGACACTTGCGGCGCTCATACTGAAGGAAAACCAGCAACACGGAGCCGGTCATGCAAGCTAACGCTAACTCAACCACAGAAAAATGAAAGTAATAAACTCACCGTTGAGTTAGCGTTAGCTTGCATGACCGGCTAGGTCACGTGACTAAGAAACCATAACGGGATTGGCTGGGTGTTGGATGCCACAATCCATTGCTAATGTCTGTGAC